CCGCTGTCATCACCACTTGCTATCAACTCCCCATCTCTTGATATCGCAACTCCTTTTACTATATCGCGATGCCCTTCCATTTTCTTCAACACAACACCGTTTTCCAAGTCCCACAGACAAAGTGTCTTATCATGCGAGCCCGTCACCATACGGCGTCCATCGGGGAAGACTGCGACTGCCACGACACTATCTTCATGACCCTTGAATGTTCGACTGGGTGTGGTAATTTGAATGATAGACTGTGCTGCTTCCGCCATTGTGCTAGAAGTGGATGGTGTCGGTACAGTCAATGTGCACTTGCCGCCTGTCGGGTTGTGGGTGTCTTGATCTAAGCTTCAGAAGTGCGTGTACCGTACATTTTGGGCTGCTTTGCGTCTCGTTAGGCGCCCAGGACACATGTGAGGCTGAACGTTATATTTAAACTTAAAGTTCCATCGAGGTTGGTGTATTCCTCTTTCTTGACAACGATTTGACTTTGCGGTTGCAATGTCGCTTCATCATGTCAAACCCCATCATACTTATCATAGCATGCCGCGATTGCCTTCGTTCTTAGAAGCCTACATGAATCGTATTCTGCCAGTGATGGAGTGGATCTAATACATCTTCCAACCCGTCCGAATCGTCACAAGTACAGTAAGTCATTCATCCTGAAGAAATGGCATGCATTTCACTAACTGTAATATGGTATCGCATATCACATTGGCTTCCAAAGCTTGTGGAGTATGTGATGCAACCCTGCAGCCACCATTCCTGCGTCGGTGATTTCGGATGAAAGCTGGTTGCCTGTCACTGCGGGGTCATGCAATGCATGACTTTGTGATACGCATTTCAATTGAGATCAGTTCACTCATCGAGTCCATTCGCTCCCATCGATCTGAAAAGTTGTGAGTAATCAATTGCGGGACTGGGTCTAACAGACCGACTTACGTCAAAGACGTCCCTACGACTGTCAGCCTCTTTCTTTTCTCTGGTCAAATACTTCATCCACGTGCCTTTCCAGTGATCTGGATGTCCAGCATAGTATATTCGGCGCAAGACCGAGCGGGCCCTGGGCCAATATATATCGTGACCAGCCCCGACGCCCCAACGGACAACAGGTTCATGAACAGTCCTCCGATCCATGTCACTCTCAAGCGGTCTTCGGGACACCACACTCCTCTGCGCTTCTCTCGCCATCTTCTGAATACAATGTCCGATAGTCGGCCAGCAACCAGAGCTCCAGCTGTTAAAGATCGTGTTGGTGGACTGCGAGTACGATACTCTGCACCTACTAAAGCTTCCCAGTCCGTTTGGGAGGACACGCGCCCCTATCCAGTTCCTTCCGCAGTATATACTTTGGATCAAGGTGTGTTTGCTAATTGTCAAGTCGTGCCTGCAACTTATAACAACAAACTAGGTGCCTCGTGACTTCGTGCTCAAACAATTGTCAATGCAAGGATAGCCGCCATCAGCATCATTCATATAATCCTTTCATTCATGATACGAACGCCATTGTAATGAGCTTCGAGGCAGGAAGAATTCACTCATATCATGTGCACTTTGAACCCTCCAGGCCAATGCACGAGTCAGGAACCATGACAATTGTCCCAGAGCAGAAGAAAAAACAAAAATACACGAGATGTACGATACCGATTAATACAAGAATGTGAAGTCAGGAACCGAACGAAAGTGAGAGCACACCTTCGCTACACAAAACGCATGAGAGAACATTGTGGACACGACAAGCATTAAGGAGGGTATCGTTACCGTGGCCGTGAAGGAGCTTTATTTGCCTCTGCCACATTATCCAGTTGCACACTCCGTTTTTGAGCGAGTTCGTTCTGGCGTTCTAGACTCCTATCATGCCAAATCGTCAGTACACGACCTTGGACATGAAGCGGGAAAAAAGGCGAGAAGGGAAAGAGAGGATAATAGACACAAACCTCATCTGATTCTCCAACTCCAACACTCTCTCCTTCGCCCCTTGTCTCTCCCTTTTATACTTCTCTTCCCCAGCCTTCAACCTTGTCTCATACTCTTTCACCCTCGCCTCCCATTTCTGATCAGCCGTAGTCGTCTTTTGGTTTATATTCGAAATCTTCTCTTCGCTTAGGAGGAGCTGGTTTTGAACCACCACCAGGCGTTTCTCAGCATTTACTGCGCGGGAAAGGAGCGTCTTTGTTTCTTGGGAGTCGCCTTGGGTCGGTCGTCGGGCTGTCACTAGTTGTGAGGTTAATTCTGCGTTGGTGGCCTTTGCAGAGTAAGAGTAAGAGTGTTAATCAAAGTCAACGTAAACACTTATGAAAACACTCACCTTCAACCCCTCAATCTCCCCTTCCCTTGCAGTGAACTTTCGTCTCCAGGTAGCCTTTGCCTCACCATATGCCTTTACGCTCGACTCAAACTTGTCAATCTGTTTCCACCGCACATCAAGCTGTCTCCGCATTTCAGCAAGCTTCTCAGTGAATTTCCCTTCTGCATCTTTGACGCGTTTTTCAAAGTCGAGTTGGATCTGGGATAGAGCTTTGAGTCGCGTGATGAGGTTGTCGTGGAAGACGCTGAAATTGGTAAAGGGCTTCGTTTCTGCTTGATTGCCTTTCTTCTGCGAAATATCATGTATCGTGAGTGAGTGACACGTGTTAGAGAGAAATGAAGGGACTTACGGGAGTCTTGTCCACGCCGAGGATCTTATCCATGTACTGATATATCGTAAGCAGCAACGTATTTCGTTCCGTAAGCTGATCACGATACTGGTTCTCAGTACTCAGTAACGTCCGCTGATCCTTAGACAACCGCGTCTCCAGCTCATTCACTCTCGTCCTATACCCAAACAACTCTGCCTCAGTGGTCTTGAGACCGCTCTGCGTGGTGTCAAGCTTCTCTGAGAGATTGAGACGCGCTTGAGTTTGAGTGTTGAGTTGTGTAGTTAGCTGCTGTACTTCGAGCTGCAGTTTATGAACCAGATCTTCACGATCGCGAGTCGTACCCTCTCTGTCGCCCACATCTTTCCGAGTACGAGATAGTTCGTCCTCTAAACGGTCGACATCACGTTTCAGTCTGTCGACTTCTAGCTGCAATGAGAACCGCGCGGTTGTATGTGTCTCCCCGAGCTCTTTAGACCGCTGCTCCATGTCCCGAAGCGCGTTTTGAACGGCTTCAAGGTCGCCTTGGCGTTGTGAGAGGAGGGACTGTGCGCGTGAAAGATCATCGAGAGCACTGCGCAGTGCAGAGTCTTTGTCTTCAAGCGCACGGTGTTCGCGTCGGAGCTCAGACTCGTGCGTCTTCTCGACATTGTCGAATTCGCGCTCAAGACTCTCCCGGGCTTCTTGTTCTCGTTTCACTTCGGTTACTAGGTCTTCAATGTGGTTCGCTAATTCTTCTTGACGGGCTCGGTGTGCGTGCATGTCTTGGAGAGATTGGTCGTAGAGTTCTTGGAGGTCTTGGAGTTGGGATTTCAGTCCTGAGACTTTCTGTTGTGATATGTGAGCTTTTGAATTTCCAAGATGAGGACGGACGTACATCTTTGAGCGCAGATGCGAGCGCTTCTAGTGTTTCATGCTCGACTGCGTCTTCCTCTCTCTGACGTTCGTGATCCTCAGCCATGCGATCTGCGTCTTCCTCGAGCGCATATACTTGCTTTCCGAGGTGCTCGATCTCCTCGTTTGCAGCTCGGAGCTCGGAATCTTTCTCCTCTGCTTCTTGTTCGAGGTGTGCGAGTGTGGCCTCGAACTTGGCATGGAGGTCATTGGTATTGGCTTCAAGTTCTGTGATGTTGAGGCGGAGTTCCCTTGCCTCGTTTTCGCGTTCTGCAAGGACCTGCACGATGGTGAGAGACGAAAGTCAAATAAGATAATGAAACAAACATCTCTGAGCTCTTCGACCTGACTCCTGGCCTCTTCGACTTCACCTCTCCACTCCTCCTCGACAACATCAACGACACGATCATGCTCCTGGATTAAATCGTCGATCTCTTTGTTCTTGAGCTCTAATTCATCCTCTTTCTGTTGTAGCTCGATGGTGGCGGCGGCAAGCTTATCCCGTATTGCGTTGAGATCGTCCTCCACAGCCTCACGTTCTTCTCTCTCCTCAAGTATCTGAGCACGACTCTCACTCCTTTCAATGCTCTCAGCCTCTCTCCGTCGCTGTATATCCTCAACCTCTAGTTGCAACCGATCAGCATGGTCAGCAAGAGCTTCATTCTCCTCCTCGCGTACAATGAGAAGTTGATCGCGCTGCTCGAGCTCACGACGAAGTTCTTCATTCTCTGCACGCAGATCTTCGACTTTGCGTGCATATCTGAGGTCTACGGAGTCGTCACCACTGCGCTCGATGACAACCTGGGCCTTCCTCAACTCCCTGATCTCGTGCTCGCGCTCCTGGAGCTGCATCTCAAGATCGCGTTCCCGTTCATGTAGCTGTGTCTCCAAATCGCGTTCGCGCTCGTGCAGCCGTGACTCCAGATCGTGGTCGCGCGTTGAGCCACGCTGAAGACGCTCTAACTCGCGCTCGAGCTCCAAGACGAGTTTCTTGAGTTTCTTAATCTCAAGGCCACGTTGCTGGACCTCGATCTTGAGATTTATATTCTGTTTGAGAGCAGCATCGATCTGGTCTGGTGCAAGCTGCGCCAGACGCTCCTCAAGGAAATGAACGCGTAGTTTGATGTTAAAGTTTTCTTTTTTGAGAGAGTCGATGTGCTGTTATGTAGGTTAGTTTAGATAGAGTTGGGTGACAGGGTTTGGCTTACCTTTTCTTGGTCTCTTAAGGATAAAGCAGCGCCTTTTCCTCCTGGTGCGCTTTGTCTTGGACGTCGTGCGCGTGGAAGGGGTGTGTCTGGGCCATCACCGTTGCTGGGAGCGGGTGATGATATTGACGGAGCACGGAGTGGTCTGCCGGGTGTACTAGGACCTGATACGAATGACCCGAGTGACAGATCCGGGTGAGTACCAGCAGAGATGTCTGCACCGTTTGGAACGGAAGACATGCAAGTTGGGAGCACGGGAGAAAGCTTAATTACTAAGCAACGATCATCTGTCCTTTATAGAAAGACCAAGTTCTTGGGCTACGTACATAGACTATCTCTCTGTCCCAAATATGTCACCCTCGAATCCTCTTTCAATCAATCAGTATTTATCATCTCGTTCAGCGACATCAACTGCGGTTGAACGTGTCTTCTCGCAGGGTTGACAGCTACTTCACTCTACTCGCAACCGACTCACACCATCAACAATTGGTGCTTTTCTCTGTCTCGGAGCCTGGGGAAGAAGTGATCTTCTAGCCTCTAACCAAAGTCCAAGCTAAGGAGGACAATAAGGAAAAGTAGTAATATTTATTAGATTGTTGTTAATGCACTCTTCTTGGCAATGTACCCGTGGTGTACTGCGGTGTCTCTGATCATAAACCGCCCAATTGACGGGTCGGTATGTGCTCGTGGAGGGTACGGTATTGGTGCGGGTACGGTCTCAACTTTCCGACTGCCTTTGGAATAACCCCATGCTGTTCGAGGAGCGTTTCCAACTCTCCCGATTGAAACACTTTGAATAACTTGAGTTTGGAAGTATATACAGTAATGCGACCCAACTTACTGCTTAGAGCAATGTCACTCCCACCTACAAATTCCCCATTCACATAAAGTTGTGGAATGGTTGGCCATTCCCTGCAAGAGAAGCACCTAAGGCTCGGTGACAATATCAAATGAAGCATAACTCACGAGAATTCTTTGATTCCGGTCCTGAGCTCTAGATCCTCTAGGACATTATATGTCTTGAACTTTTCAGGTGGAATGTCGAAAGCGCTGAGGATCTTCACGACCCCTCGTGAAAAACCGCACATAGGCTGCTCTGGGTTGCCCTTCATGAACAGTACCACAGGGTATTCAGTCACTGCAGCCTGTATTTTCGTGCGAGACTCCTGAGATAGAAATCGACGGAATGTTTGCGACCTTAGACAGCTGGAAACAGTGCTCCTGTGGAGTGAAAGCTGACGAAAATGTTATGATACACGAAATATGAGGACAACTGACGGAAATACATACAGATGTCCGAAGTGCGCTTTGGAACATCGCGAGCGAGATGTTTTTCCGACGTGGAAGTTGAGGTCACCGGCGAATTGAATATATGACTAAGCCCCGTTCATATATACCGGAAATTTGGACAAGCGGTACGTCACTATCCGGCAGTCCGTCTATCCTACTAGCGTAACATTCTTTGCAAAGTTTCTTGCCCTAAAACTTCCCCCGGGCCGGGCTTGAACCTGGGGTATGGAATATTTGTGTGGGACCCGATTCCCGCTCTCTTGTTTGGTTCCGAAGAGTCGTTCGACGCCTCGAATTCTCAAGCACTCTGTTACCAGTAACCACTAGCACTGACACGCGCTGCGAGACGGACTTACCGTCAGTTTATCGATTCAGAGCAGAGGTGTGCTTATTTCGCATGGTGCAGTTCCCTACTCTTTGGCACTTATCCTGAGCGGTATGTGTACCTTGCGTGCGTTGTACCTGTATCCGAAACTACTAGTACAGCGTGGTGCTTCCCCAAAGTCAGCGACTCATCTTGATCATGGAAAGCACCTAAAAGTCATTATAGAATTTGAGTTTAAATCAGTCGCGTAGAATACATAGATCATAACGGTGTAGGTCTGATTCCGTCTGAAGCTGAATATTGTCATTTCGCAAATCCGTAACAAATCTGTTTACGCAAAGCAACCTCTAATGCAAGGAGTAATCCTTATCACTAAGTACTAGTACTTTGGAGAGAAGGAATAAGGGCAACGTATTCCGCTCGCTGCTCATCTGTTATCGACATTTCGAAGTCGGAAGTCAGGCTCTCCAGGGGACACTTTGACCGCGTCAAAAACGCCTTGAATTCCTCATGAGGCCACGAGTATATATCGAAAACTTCGAGAGCGCGCAGATTGGGGAGTGAGAGGGTATCGAATAGGTTAAGATACTCTGCGTCGTCGTCGTAAAGATCGTTGGAATTAATCCGTAAGGATTGGAGTTGGGTGTGCGTGAATGGCTCCAGGGCCTTCATGGCGGCAAAAGATGTAGATATCGTCAAGGAGGAGAGGCTGGGGCATAAACGGAGCAATTGGGGAAATGCACTTGGGTCGTCTAGGTCAATCTGGATATTTGTGAGGCGGGCCCAGGCAGGATTGAAGGTAGATGAGTACTCCATGTTGAAGAACACTCCTCTTACCGTGAGACTGCGTAAAGTGCACGGCGGTTGCGAGATAGATTGGACGACGCAAGCCGCAGAATCAGACCAATCCAATGATATGGTCAACTCCTCAAGTGCGAGGAAGTCTGATATCGTAACCTCAAGTTGGGGGACGTTTTGGTAAAAATCAAGAGACAGAGATGAGACTTGATTTATGTAGGGCTGAAGAAGGCTTCGGAGTTCGGTCCAATTATTTTTGTGACATTGGAGTTCCAACGAGAGCGGACGCCCTCGTGATCGCTTGAGCCATGACTCATAGCAGAAAGCTGCCTGCTGCCAGTCTTCGCCCACGTACAGTCTTTGCCACAAACTGGGCATATTCACAGCAACCTCCCTCCATCGTCGACATATTCTTGTCAACACCATAGGAACTGCCTTTGACGCGGGCGACAAGCGGTGCTCAATCGGGAGGCAGTGAGCAAAAATCTGGGATAGGACTTCGGTTGGCAAGTGCCAGAGAGCTGATATAAGTCGCTTGTGCAAATTCATGGATTGAATGATCTTGTCTTTCTTCGCGACCAGTTGCTGGTGAATATGATTGATACCATCTATGACCGTTTCAAAATGTGAGATTTCGTGGGATACTGCATCCAATTGATGCTGGTGGTGTTCGGTAATGATAGTATTGATGACCTGGTAATCGAGCTTGAAGGCAGAGTAGTTCGTACTGCTAACTACAGGATACCAGGTTTCGAAATCTGGTATCTTGTTATCGTGAATCAATGACATCGATACATGTATTAAACTCAATTGACATACAATTATTTGTGAATGAGCGAGCTGAAGCAAATTGTTTATTACTATATGCAAATACGAGTGCCTAGAAAACTGGGTACTTACGATGTTTTGCAGAGCACCAATGATGTCCGAGACCGAGGAAAATTTCGCTTTTGAGTTGGCTGTCATGGCATCAATCGTGTCTGCATGTTGTCGTCGGTCGTCTAACGCAAAGGACATGTGCTTGCAAGGTTCAATAGGGTTCTTAACAAGTTAGCTGAGCGTGAAATACAAGACGGCTGTGCCCGAAACCCCGCTCGCGTAGTCTCCCCCTGCTGTGATCAGGCTAAGCCCTCTTCAGCATATTCGGCTTATTCCATTCCATCATTTGGCACACCATTGCCACCCCCGAAACCTAAACGCCTTGTCTGCCGTTGTAGTCCACGCAGTCCCACAACAAGCCTGGACTCCAGCCCCCCTCGAACTCGTCGAAAACCTCTCCACTGGGCCACTGCACGCCCTTCTGCGGGCTCTTCAACAGTTCATCCCCGTGTCTCTGTGGGCACGCTCTCCGACCCCATCGATGTCGACAATGATCTCAAGGTCTGGTCAGGTGCGGATAACCCGCGCAGACAGCCGCTGCCGAGTCATCTTCTACCCAGCAGCAGCACCGAAGGGCCAGCTACAGAGACCCATACGAGCTACGCCGTCAGGCTTCCCGTTCTTGATCGCCAGTACGGGAAAACAACCTGAAGAGGGCCGACAAATCTCCGTCGCCCGACAAAGGTAAGGACCAGGACCAGCGCAACAAGGGTTTTTCCGGGGCGCAGGTACTCGAGGCCGGTCTGCCTGCACCATCTTCTTCGGCCGTTTCTCGCACGACATCCAACGATACGACTCACGCAACCTCTGGGACAAAACAACGCCTGCCCATCCCCGCCGAACCCAAGACGGCCGCATCAGTGTGAACCTCGAAGATTGCCACTCTATTACGTAGCGAGGCACGAGTGGAGGAACTAGAGTTAAGTCTTTGAGCGAACAGCAAGCGCAACGTTCGCACCTCTTCTTTCTCTGCTGCGACGACCGTTCACCCCGTGCACTTCGTCGACATAGCTTTTCTTTTCCCCGCCCTCCTCTCCCTCTTCTATCCTGCGGTTGCACGATTCAGCGCCTCGCTAACACTTACAGCACTGGTAATCCTAAAATATCCTTGGGCCCTGATTCCATGAAGGGGTAGATTTAGCCAAGACACAGCGAGGCAGCCCACCCGCCCTCGCAGCTCACCTTTCCCCCTTAGGCTAAAGCCCCTTCGAGACCGGGAGGTGCTACATGCCTTCGCCCGAAAACTTTCCCCGAATTCTCTCCCTTAATCACATCCTTGTACAAACGTAGCACATTTATTCACGTTGAACCAAGTCGTTTTTTTCTCTCCGCACGAACGTCACGCTAGTGTGGACCTCAGAGGAAGAAACAAGGGTAGCTCGCATATGTTGTGTGTTGACTCTTGAGAATGATATCATCCTTGAGGCCTGTTGCCAACGAGGCAAACACGAATGTGGCCTCTAACATCAGGCCAGGGATATCTGCGAGACTATCAGCAGCACGTTTCAGCGTGAGCATACTTTCAGGTTCCCTCGAAAACCGTGTCACTGAAAGCATGCGTGTAGGTGTTGATCGGTGCGTCAAGTCGTTAAACATTGCTTTACCGAGGGCCTTGATATTACACTTCGCAAAAACACTCTAATCTGTACACCCCTCCGTCATCATCGCTCTCAGCTTCGCAACCTCGACCCGGGGAATGACAGTCGATTTCAAATGGCTCTGCATGGGGAATGACCGCGTCACCGAAAGCGTGCGTATTGATCGGTGCGTCAGGTCGTTGAACAATGCGAAAAGACCACAAGAGAAGTGCGAGGGTAATGTACATCGACTGGTTTGCGAGGTGCAGGCCGGGACATACACTTTTAATGACAAATGAACTTCGTTGATCGGTGTCAGGAAACCGATATCGGCACGACTTACCGTCTACCAAAGCCATACGTGATGAACTTCATACTATTGTTCTTAAGGCGACCTTCTGAATCAAGCCAGCGCTGGGGATCGAATATTTCAGGATCTGGGAAGACGATAGGATCGCGAGAAAGAGTCCTAAAAACACGCGCTTAACGGAACAGTGTACATCGTGAAACAACACCATACCAATGGCAACCGTAAACTGTTGCACCCTCTGGAATGCAGTATCCTCGCTGATTGCAGATTGGAATCAGAACGCGGATTACAACAAATTAAGACACTGACCCAAAAAATATCCTTGGTTGCACGGTGGGGAAATCCTGAGGCACATGTCAGCATCGTACAGGAGCGGGCCGAATTTTGATTTTACCTATGCGAACGATAGGTCGCCATCTCAAAGCTTCCAACAAGAACGCGTGCAATTGAGGGAGCGAGCTTGAATCATTAAATGTCGGCGCTACAACGAAAGATTAATTGAGAAATCAAATCTTTTTAACTCTTTGGTTTGGTATTACTTCTGTCTGACCCGATGACCATATCGAGCTCTTCATGTACCTTTGCCTGAGCCAGTGGGTGGCACGCCGCAGCCATAACAGTAGCGGTAATTCCAACAGCAGTCTGAACCAGGGATAAGTTCGCGGAGATAAATAAGTTACATGGCTTGCCGTATCAGATCCCGCCCCAAAGAGTGATCCGGCGAGATACGACATCTCATCTGTGGAGAGTCGGTGTTCTTCGGTGTTCTCCAATAGTGATTTGATGAAAGAGGGGCCAGCTTTGTTTTGATCCTGCGTACAACAAGATATAAGTGACGTACGTTTATCGAAACAGAGAGAGCCCCTTACGACTTCGCTCTTGACGCGCCCCAGCTGATGCCTAAATAGCTCAAGCTCCTCATGATGCCACTCATCAAGTTGTTTTCCGTAACCAGGCAAGTAGCGCAAAAGGGGCATACGATCGACAAGATAAGCTCCTGGGAGAATCGTGGCATGAAAGCGCTCGACGACTTTGTGGATACGGACAACTTCGGGATCGGCGTTGGCAGTGGGCGCAGACTTCCCATAAGCCACCCGAAGAATGACTGATGCTGCATACCTTGATGTACCATATCTATGAAAGGATCACAAAAGGCATTGGTAGTGACGTACCGCTGTGCGTGCTTCTGGTGGTTCGTCGGGTCATTCAGCACATCCAATACAAAATCCATCGCGTTCTCGCGCTGCATATCTTTGTATGCCTCTGCCGCCTTTGCCTGTAAATGAGGGTGCACTGCTTTCCGGAGCCGCCGGAAGCGTTCTCCGGAACGAGCCATGGTGATACGCATTCCATTTGAGAGCATCTCACTCGCGGCAACGGATCGAGGTCGATCTGCCAGTGATGCACCTTCTTTCTCCATGATGTCTGCGACTGCCTGGTACATGGTCATTGTCGGAGGAAGCTCGAGGTATGGGCAAATTACCTCCATGGTGCCAATGACAATTATCACTTGGCTACCTTGTCGGAACGACACAATCGGCCCATATTCTCGAACCAAGTTGGTCAGCGTATAGACAATGCTGAGTAGACGATCTATATCAACCTCTGATATTTTGTATAACACTACCAAAACTCACTTCACAGCAGGTAAAGCGTTGCTCCAGAACCAACGGGCGGGAGGTCCAGGTGGAAGCGGGATGCCCTTCCTTCTCGATAACGTGAATTTCTTGTATAGCACGAAGAGTATTGCTACAACCGTGACGACGCCAGCGGCATAGTTGGCACTCCTGGTAAGAGCTTCCAGCATCATGATGTGATGTGGGATACGAGTGAAACTCCAATCCGTGCGTGCCCGATATCTTATAGTGTCTCGCACTCGGCCTGTTATCCGACATCCAATTGAGATGCACCACTGCGATGTCACGGCGTAATGAGGGTAGGTCGTTCTAAGAAGGGAAGCAAACGTTGATCGGCTAGCCTACAGCATAGGGATCTCGATGATGCACTCCCTGCTATTTCAGCTTTTTCTGGAAAAAGGATCAGCCAACATGATAATAATCCGGCGAGATGATCAAGTCAATCCTGACAGTCGCCTCGCTCCTAGAAGAATCGATTGTAAAAGGTTGAGCTGCTCATCTGCTATTGTCACGTGTTGGTAGACATTCCAAATTATGGACAAGGTCAGTCAAGGGTATGCATGAGGAAGAGGTGTTCGGTTGATCATTACAAGCGATGCGTTCTTCGGGCAGGTCAGCCACTGAGGCGGAGTAATCTTCAGCCGTGGTGAGTCTCCGGGCGTGAGAGCGTCACTTACACTAACAAATTAACCCCTCCCTACATCCCCACAGTGCCTGACCTGAAGCCAAAAAGACTTCTTGGGCTACAAAATTGGTCAGAGCCTCTAATGTGAAAAATAATGACGCTTCAATATACTAGGAAATGATCCAACGAGTCCGTCTTATTTTTGTAATCAAGGAAGCTACGCACATGTTTAAAAGATTCTACGATTGCTCGCGCATTGAACGGACGTAAAAAGGCTACACGTTATCTGATCGTAGCATCAAATCAGATGGTATTTCGCTGAACCCCTTGTAGAGGCTCTGTTTTTCAAATACCTCAGAATCTTCAAGATAAATCGCCGTCCTGAAGGCGCCATATCGTGTGCATATTGTCTCGAGAGATATGATCGAATCAACCCTCGCTATTCCCGGGCCATGGGCACTTCGTCACGGCGGGTAGCACATCTCTACACCGTACCCGTACCCATGGCCCCCATACCTGTGCTAGCATGCTACCATCAGGGAGAGTGTTGGACACGACCGTCGTGTGAATGGACCCATGGTCGACGGGTTGACTCGAACAGTCTGGCGTTTGAGACGTTGCACAGAGATGAGTCAACAAAGGTGGCATCTCTCCGGTTGGACCTCGTACGCTTCCGACGGTCGACCTGGTCATTAAAAAGTGGGTCTTGACACAAATGAGGTCCCTCCGAGCACTCCCCCACTGTGGTCGATGATTTGACAAAACAAAGCGGTTTTCTACCAACCGCAAGTCCGCCATGCCGCATGGTGATGTCAAGAATCAGCTTGAGCCTGAAAGTACAATATTGAACATATAAACTTATTATAAAAAGGATGACTCCAAAATCATATGATCGTTACCGACAGTTACCAACGACGAATCTTCGGCATGCCATCAGTGAATTCATGTGCACGAGTCCTTGACATACTTGACATTGGAACCGTGGGAACTATAGTTCAATCATTGTGCTCCCGGACCAGTCGGTGAGGTAGAATAGACTTTTCAGGAGTCGGAAGCGTACACAGGAGCACTTTAAGAAAGTCAAGCCTGTAACAATCAATTCTAGAAATCGGATTCTTCAATACACTCTTCATCTCCCTTTTGGGAACTGTCACTCGAATCTTCGATATCTGCCCCTCCCCTGATGTCCTCCACAGGCGTTGCTCGCTTGCCTCCAAGGAACACGCGTCCACCAGGCGCGTCCTCCAATGACCTCACTATCACATCCGTCTCAAACAAATACTTGATGTCCTCCAACGCATAACCCTTCGTTTCAGGCAGGAAGAAATACGTCCAAGCTGCCATGATCATGCAGCACACGCCAAAGAGCAGGAATGTCCCATACGTGATCTTCTCCAGCATCACCGGCGTCAGGCGTGATATCGTGAACGAGAACAACCAGTTGATGCTGATCGCGATGGTAAGTGTGGCTGGGCGGACATGATTGGGGGCAACTTCGCTGGCCACGACCCACGGCAGAGGTCCCCAGCCGATGCAGAAAAATACTGCGTAGAGGTAGACGGCGATGATTGACACGTAACTCGCAGGTACAATAGTACTCTGCGGGTGGATGGCGCCGAAGCCGCCAATCCAGAGCATGGACAAACCTTGCCCCACGGCGCCCACGAAGAGGCACAGCTTGCGACCCCCAACTTTCCACAGCGAATGCCAGGGTAAAACCGACTGCGACGACTTTCACGAGACCGTATATTCCTGTTGCAAATAGGCCAGATGCTGTACCGGTGATACCAAGCGCGGCAAAGATCTGCGGGCTGAAGTAGTTGATAGCGTTTGTACCAGTCCATTGCTGGAAGAAGGTGAGGATGGAAGGGATCGAGCAGCGAAGCGCAATTTGACGTGACTCTCCCATCATGCGGAACTGGGTAACCAAAGATGTTCGCTGCTTGCCGATGTAGTCCGCTTTGATCTCGTCGAGTGTAAGAAGAACGACGTTGTCATCGACTGACGTTCGAATAACATATGCAAGCGTCCTTGCGGCCTCATCGTAGCGCTCCTGCTCAACCAACCAACGGGGTGACTCTGGCTGTGGAATCATAAGGAAAACGAAGAGGACACCCGGGACAAGCTGGACTAAGAAAGGCATACGCCATTGCATGTCGCTATATGGGATGTTGATAGAAGCGCTGTAGTTCACCCAGACTGCAACATATATTTCATCAATCCAGGATTACTTCATCTACAAATGGATAGTACGTACAGCTCAACATCATACCGATGTTGTTAGAGAACTGGACAAGGCCGGTACACCTCCCCCTAATGTGTCTGGGCATGCACTCTGATATGTATGAGGGAGCTAGAGCGGATACCATGCCCACCCCGATGCCAGCAAAGACGCGGCCAAAGTATAGCACTCGAAGAGCGACAGCCTGGCTGCTTCCGAGGCCAGCGACGGATTGAATCATGCTTCCGACGATATATATGACGCCCGAAGCAATCAGAGACCGTTTCCGCCCAAAGCGACTACAAGCCCAACTAGTCAACAGGACACCGAAACTGGAAAATTCAAGACAATAGCATGAGTAGCGAAGCGTTCTATCATATTCCGAATGACGCACATGCATCCGGCCTGCATAACTGACACGATATTTCCATTGAAATTGGCTTGATCAGATGCGGACAATTTATCGATACCAAAGTAATGCTGGAAAGACTTGAGGGTTAAAATGCCACCCATGAGTCCAGTGTCCCAACCGTAGAAGATAGAGCCCATAGATGCAGACAGGGCGAGGGTGTATGCATTGCGATAACGCGAAGCATCTGCTAGTGCGTCTTTGAAACCCATGGTGGAAAGCAGATGGGGCGGGCAGAAGTAGTAGTAGTAGGCGCTTCCACCTTTATAGTTCTGCGCAACCCCATCGTGCCAGGGCCCTAGGTCACTATAATGACGGTCCGAAGTAGAGGTAAATCAAATCGAGGTGGAAAGTTCTGGTAAATTGACACAGTTCGGCACTCGCCTCACGATGCGGAAATGAGATACAGAATCGCCGCCCAAACGCATACACAGCGGTGTTTGAATTCTATCTACTAGAACTGAATTCGGGGTCAATTGGTGTAAACCCTCGTCTACGTATCATTCTTGAAATTACTATTGCAATCGAAACCTCGACACCACAAATCTCCCGCTGGCAGTTGATCTTACATTTCAGTAAGGAGAATATTTGGTTGTCGCTCGATATATGCTCAAAGGAACTGAGAAATCACATATAAGTGACACTGAGAATAGGCAATCATGATAGCTCACGTTTGTATCCCAAGGCTGTTGAGGACGCGGGGTCGACCTGCAGAAACTGGTGTCCTCATGACTTTGCCAGTCCTGATATGTCTTCCGAATGTATTGCGTTGACTGCTCACTTGTCCCAGTGTAACAATGGATCATTGGATCTTAGCCATGATATTTAGCAAGCTCATCTGCAGAGCCTTTTGCTTTCGTTCCCTGGATATGTATCGTCCCATTGTTAAGACCGTAGCTCAAGGGTAGACGGATCCGAAGGGCTTGGCCTCAGCTCGTGCGCTGTGCCCCTTACCCGAGTACGTGCCCTTAATTTCAGAATGAAGTCCAGATGGAATCCGACGAAGTCCGAAGGACTTCCGGAGGCTGGCTACTCTGGTTGAGTGCTGGAGGACTTCCGGATGAGCGCGGGAAACTTTCGGATGAGTATAGGAAACTCTGGAAGAGTTTCACCCGCTGCATTAGATCCGAAGGTAAGCTCCCTAGATGGAAACACATAGAAGATAGGCTGCAAGGGACAGAGTCCAAAGCAGGATAGGGTAGGAGGAGTGGTCCGAAGGACAGGACGTCCGGAAGTCCGAAGGTTAAGACGTCCGAAGGTTGTGTCGTCCGAAGGTTACGACGTCCGGAGGAGCGGAGGAGCGGACAGGATTCTAGGACAAGAGAAGAAGGGCTACAACGGACAAGGTCCGGAGTAGAAACAGATGGAGGTAGACTACACTATGGTAGAGTCGGATAGACGGGGTTTAGACAGAAGTCTCGGAAAGACAGGAAGTGCCGGAAAGGCAAAGCTTCGGCTTAGGGAGTCAATCCCTAAGCATGGATATAGACGGAAGGATAAATCCGGAGGACCGGAAGGTTGGCCTAGGGAATCCTTCCCTAGGCCTAAGGAAAGGCAATACTAAGATGGACCAAAGTCCGAGATCAGAATGAGTGAAGTCTAGGATGCGAGAGAGCAAGTCTATGTTGAGCAGAATCTAAGATGATATTCGAACTAAGGAAACTTTACAGGAGTTGTACAGAGGTTTATATACTGGACGGGATCCGAGAGGATCAGTAAGCTGAAGACAAATGCTATGTACGAGCATGTGGAAACATATTGGTAAGTATGAATGGAACATAAACAAATGAACTCGGAGATGAACAAAGTACAAGGATCAATAAGCAAGACGGAAACACAGATAACCGAAGTCCAGAGTCAAGAGGATTACCATAAGGAGATAGACGCTGATTTAAGGTTTGAGCTTCGGATATGAGTATAGGTCGGATCCGGAGGTCTAGAGATATCCGATGAGGCGTCTGGATATCGGATGAGCGGATCTGGAGATCTAGGTGAAGACGAGACTAGGATATAGATCATGGATATCATCCGGTAGTCTCGGGAAGGTAAAGTCTCAGGTAGGATGAGCTCGGATCCGATGGGATCAAGGGTGGATGAAGCAGGCTTAGCTGCGGAGGTCCGAAGGTATGGATATATGGATGTACGAAGGTGTACGGATCCGAACCGATAGTGGACTGGAGGACTGCAGGCATGGATAAGGGTATGGAGTCATGGATAAGGGTATGGAGGTCTGGATGTGCATCCGGAAGGCGTCCGGAAGGCGTGGGAACATCATCGGACGTAGGTCCAGAATACGGGATATGACACCCATAGTAGATTGAGATCGACCGTCAGAAGTCGAAAGTTTGTGGTCTGACTTATTGCCGAATGTATATATATATATATTGCCTAAACCACAGGACAAGGAGAATATCACACTTTGTTTGCAGGCGTTGCCCATCCCATATCATTGTCTATGCAACTCTTGGTCGCTCACCATTTCGATGGCCATGGAAGTTTGTGCTCCTGTCTCTTCTCATTCGAGCAGTCCTGCTACCAGCATACCACTACCTCCAGCTGTAGAACGCCAAGACCCGTCAGCGATTTTTTTCAAGAACATAGATATTCACCCCAAAGGCTGTCCATATTATGACATCTGACCACTGTCTGATTCTCCTCAGGTTCCCATGGATGAGATCCCTAAGCCTTCTGATGCCAAGGAGAGGAGCCTATCATATAGGCCCGGCAAGACAACCATGTCAGAGCTCTTGCTTGTTCCGCCCCCCTCGTCTTGTTGGGGAGCCTTTCCTCTAATTTTCCTCACCAACTTTAACGAGTGTCATTCGATATCCGTTCCCCAATCCTGTCAACTCTCAACTCCAAGCTGATGAATCCAAAGGTACTGGTGAACAGGTCTGAGGTGGGGATTCTGCCGTGTTCTTGAACTGACTCTGGTCATCCTCCTAGTTTTTACGGATGCCTATGCTAAGGTACAGGGCCAGAACTACAAGTTATTCTCCGTTCGGTCTGGGATCTACATAGATGACAGGGATGTTCTTCTGCCCATCTATGTAGATCTCATACTCCCATTTACAAGTGTGTTCTTCTAACTACTTGATCCGTAGGTCTTGTTCTTTCTTGAGCAGTGAATCTCCGCAGTTGCAAAATCAGACAAGCAAGGCATGCAGCAAATCCGCGACTCCTAACAGTGATAATGGCCAACATTTTGGAAAAAACAAGAACATGGTCTCTATCGCAATTGGGGAGCCAGTCGTTGATTACTGGTTTGACCAGTTTGTGTAAGTCATCATTGGAATATACCGAGTGATGAGGGACATATTCTTATTGTTTCATTCTCATAGCGATGATGAGCTACACGGACACATACCACAAATCTATTCTCGCTTTCAGTACCAGTACCCTTTTAATCAAGTTGTCGGCTGACTTGTAATCAAGTTTGACAATACAGCGTTCCTGAAGTCTTCCCGTCCGGACAGACTTATTTTTTTTGTGTTCTTTTCATTTCACACGAACAAGCCTGGCTGTGTATATTTCAGATAGCATTTTTCACATAGAACACCGTTGCCCACAATTCAGTCAACTGCGCACCCTCTGCATGCGCCTACCCATCTAAAAGGTAAGAGCCTCATAGCATCTAGCACCACACATACTTCAGTCATAACCCTATGTACAAGTGGTACCCCGGATGTGCCAAATGGTTGTAGAATGTGTACCAACCAGCACCGGCCTGTACATGCACATTGGTGCCGGCCAAGGGTGTACGAGTGGTACTGGCCAACCCACTCAGGTGATGCTGTCTATACATGTGGGTACTGGCCAACCACAGCTTGGTGTGAGAGTGGTACTGGCTAACCACTCAGGTGAAGCTATCTATACATGTGGGTACTGGCTGATTATTGCCCATGCATGTACATTGGTGCTGGTGTGGGGGTGGTACTGGCCGGCCACTGCTTGTGCATGTACATTGGTGCTGGCCAGAGGTGTGGGGGTGGTACTGGCCAGCCACTGCTTGTACACATACATTGATGCTGGCCAACAACTTAGGGAATCAGGAAAAACCTACACATTGTTGAATGACTGTATGATACTTGGCCAAGTCTTTCCATGACTTGCACTTCTAAGATACTCAATTCCAGCAGGATATTTGATTTATGCAAGTTGATCAGTGTCAGTAGATAATGTAAGTGTACAAATATATCTAACTGTTCATGTCTTATATGATCATGGTCAAGAACCCATGCATGTAAAACAACTCAAGAATGATAAGGAAAGTGTAGGTGTACTGATGGTATTGATGAGAGAGCCGGCCGGTGCATGTCCAGACCATGTACAGGAAGGCAGGCCGACAATAGAACCAGCCGGTGCATATCCAGGTTATGTACAGGAGGGCAGGCCAACACCTTAGGCTTTTACAATAGGGCCAGCTGGTTTATGTCCAGACCATGTACAGGGGGGCAGGCCGACACCTCAGGCTTTGACAATAGAGCTGGCCAGTGGATGCCCAGACTATGTACAGGAAGGCAGGCTGACACCTCAGACATTGATAATAGAGTTGGCCAGATCAGGACCATGAGCATCATAGTCAAGAACCCCAAGTATCTAACACAACTCAAGAATGATAAGGAAAGCATACTGATGCTATTGATGAGAGAGCTGGCCAGTGCATGTCCAGACTATGTACAGGAAGGCAGGCTGACACCTCAGGCTTTGATACTAGGACCGGCTGGCGCATGTCCAGGACATGTACAGGAGGGCAGGCCAACACTTCAGACATTTGTAGCAGGGCCGGCCAGTTCAGGACCAGGGTGTGTACAAGCAGGCAGGCCGATAGGTTAGACATATTATAATAGCCAAGACTGTTAAGTGACTATGATCATCTTGTCTTTGAATGAATTTTCAGCATCCAATGCAAATCTTCCCTACAAGAGCACCTGTCGATGTGCATAAGCTTGATGACCAGGCTTTGTAGCTTGTTGGTATCGTTGGTCCCATTCTCCCATCCTGTATTTAAACCAACTCACTGTCTAACCCATTTCGTGTTGGACCAATCTCAACTCCTCCTCCCACCTTTGCCATCTAGCCTTAGCTTTCAACTAATTTACCCTGTAGACTAATACCTGTCACTGCAGAAAATCGGCATATTAGATATGACTTACATTCATCCATCCACACATCTTCCTGTGTATCATGACCATTGTTGACTCTCCAAAACCAAGCCAGTCTGTCTGATCCCTGCCCATATCTGTTCTCTTCTGTCACTTCCTTGTCCACACTGAGCTGGTGTGGCTGAATGTCTTGATAAATCGTCCTCAGAGTATCTTCATCAGCCCCTAGTCTCTGCATCAAACCCCTTGCCCTTTGATACCTTCGGACACACTTCTCTATTTTGATATGACATTGTAAAGCCTCCTGCTTTGACCTGGTTCCTGTCCATGTGGAATCTGCGCTTTGGAAATGTTGACAGTAAATTATCGCTTTATGACCAAGAGCCTGCCGTAACTTTTCCAAGCAATCATTTGCTTGACCCTTTCGTAACTCCAGTTCTTCAGCTTGCAGAGCATGCAAGCCCAGGGCTAAAGCCTCATTTCGGGGCACTGAAGATGGCATCCAAATGCCCATGGCTTCTGCAGGAACTTCCTCATCAATATCTTCCAACACATCTTCAATATCTGCAGCCTCCGGTACTTCCTCTACCACATCTGTAGTGCAAAATCTGCTGTCATCCATGTGCTCAGTACCTGCATGGACTTCAATGCCCTCTGTCATAGCATCAGCAATTTCATGAAATTTTGAAATACGTGCAGCCAGTTTTTGTCGTTTCACTTGAACTGCAGCCCTTTGAACCGCAGATGCTTCGTTTGGAAGCTGCCGAATAGCTACTCTGAGTGCATCCCTAGATAGCAATTAGAAATACGTCATCACTATCAATATATGATAAAACAACATACTGTGAATCCTCTATATTGATGCCATCAATAAGCCAAGAAATTTATCCTGACCTCCCTGTATCAGCATATTCTGATTCAGTTAATTTTAGCCGTATTTCTGCCATTGTTGGTGCTTCCAATCACCCAATCAGAATGTACGGCACATGGAACTGAATAGAAGCTTCGAAGTGCTCACCTTTATCTATCTTTAGCTGGTAGATGTTGAGATGGTCTCCTCATTCCTCCATTGCCTTCTCCTCATCTTTTTCCCATGCCCTCACTTTGATGACATCCAAAGATCCTGTGAGCTCTTCAAATGGCACCCTAGTGTCTTCAATGCCCTTGTTGGCCTGTTTTGTACTTTCTCAAGAGCGTCTTAACTGCATCAGTGTGAAACTGTGATGTCATTCATTTCCAAATATAGGCACTTACCTATTTTGACAAGTTTCTTCCAATTTGAGTTACACATATGATCATCAAGAATTTCTTGACGATGGGATTGGCTCATAGAACATGCCGTGGGAGATATCTTGTTAAAGGGAGCCCAAAGTGTCTCCAAAATTTCCCCATCAACTTGCCCAGCTCCTTGAATGAAGTTTAAGCTGTATCTAGCAAAACAGGCAAGTTTATGAGCGCTCAAGTGAAATTTCCCCACTGCAGCCACAATCTCGGTGTTGTCTGGGAGTGCCAAGCCAGGGCAGTTGTCAACTCGTTGAGCGAAGTTAAGGCTCCACTGGCACCCCACATCATAGATGATCAGGGAGTTGTCAATGTTGCCAGCAGCATGCTTAATGGCATTGCAAATAGAATAATCTATATTCATGTGGCTTGAAGTGATTTTGTCAGCACGTCAAGCCCAAGGCTTGTCTTAACCTAGATTGAGTAAATGAAAGAAAACTTGCTGTTCACCCTTCTGAAAGTCCACTATGCATGGGGAACAAAACATCCATGCTGAGCACAAGCAGTAGCATAGACCCCTGTAGCTCGGAGGTTGCTCCTGTTTGTGTTTGCTGCATTGACTGCCCGATGATTGCTACAAGAGGATTGCTTTCTACAGGTTCAGTCACCACTAACAATGCAAAGCAACTTGATTCACCTCTTTACTCTCCGTAGCTGAAGCCAAGTGAGCTTGGTAATCTGTGTCTGTTACCATATAACCTAAACCATCTGAGAGGAAGATGTTAAGCTGAGGTTGTCGCATGTTCATGTGCTGAGCAGTAAAGTCTCCATCTACCACAAATCTTCTCATAAAAAGCCACCTGCAATCAAAAAGTCAGCCAAGAGTTATCTAGAACCAACAACTAGAGACAAATAGTCAGCCATGACTGCCTCTGTGCTGCGTACAAGAGGTACTGTGCCAGGACTCAGCTAACACATATTACTGGCTGTGACTGACTCTGGGCTGCATACAAGAGGTACCGGCCAGGACTCAGCTGACACATATTACTGGCCAGGATCACTGCTGTGCTATGCACTGTAGGTACTGGCCGGAGTCTGGCAGACAAACCATTGCTGGAATTGACTTGCCTTTCATACTTCTGCTCCCAAACAATAGGCATATGATTCCTGGCTGCGGACAAGAAGGGCAAAATAGAGCAAGATCTCCTGCACTAGGGGGGTGCTTCCACATCATGGCCAAATCCAAACCATTTACAGTTCTTCAAGTCATGCCAGAGTCGAGACACTCTCATGAGTTCACGATATCGATCCTACAGATGGGAGTTTGCATTCAGTATGAGCTAGAATTATGGTATTGTCAGTTCTACTCACTGGCACAGCATCCGGGAAAGCATTATTTGTCAGCCGTCAAATCTTTTCAAAGAAGCTCATTGCCAAAGTCTTGCATTCCAAGGCATCAATGAGATAATGATCCAGTACTTCAAAGGTGAATGCAGTCCTAGGGCGCGTGATACTGGCAGGAAATAGTCCAGCTTGGAGCAGCTGCAGGTGATGTTCATGATGTGATCCTGGACACCGACACCACGACACATTGTGTGTGAACACCCCAGAAGAATGTACAATAATCACAGAAGAATCTTGATCAAGGTGACTTTGTCCATCTCCGTAGCAAGGGCAAGACTTTCCACCGTGGCCCATGCACCATATAAATCCTTGGGCAGAAAGAGTGTCATCTTCAAAGCACTTCCTGTTCCAAAATTGGATTTTGTGAAAAGGCAATGACTGATGTGATTTGAGGAGGCAAGGGCGACACCAGCTGTGGTCACCAGTACAAGTTGTGCAATGGAAGGAACTTTCTTCACATTGGCAAGTCTCACAATGCCTGCGGTGGCAAATTTCTCTGAGTCCAAGATGACATCTAGATATGCCTGTTGATGAGTGAGATATTCTGCTATGAAGTCATTTTGTGTCTATGCCATTGATGAGAAACAATTACTAGTAAGCCACAGGCTGTTAGACATACCTTGGTTTTTCTCCCTTGCCCAGCAGCCTCTGTGTCAAAACAAAGTCACCAAACATTTCCCAATTTAAATCTTCTTCTTGGATGTCTGGCGATTCTGTGTGTACTGCTTTAACTCATTTTCTTGGGCTGGTAGTAGGCTCAGGCAAAGTTTGATACAACGGATCAGCACAAGTCTCAACCCAAGAGGATTTCCCCTCTTGTCTCTTGTAAGTTTGTGAGTAACATAGTCAACATCTGGATCCTTTGTTTGTGATAACTTTCCTCTATGTTGGAAAGAATAAGAAACAGCCTTGAGACACTGCCTGTTTTTTTGAGGACATAGTGCTTAGACCGAGGAAATATTCCAGTGTATATGAGAAGTCAACCAATTAAAAATCACAAGCTTTGTCTAATCGGGATATCTATTTATGGGAAACTACTCCTTGTCCCCTCTTATTTGATCTCCGAATGGCTTTTAAACCCCCCTTCTTACCTGCCCCCACTCTATTCAGAAAATCCCGCTGGTTTGGAAACTTTGGTCTCAGGACACCAAGCCTATCGTGTACTTTATCCTTGACAAAGTGTGCAATCACAATTCTCTCCCCGTCACCCCACTGTGGCACCCCATGCTCCAGCACCTTTCCTAAAATGTAAACCATAGTGCCAGGGTAATAAGCTAGCTCAGCACCCAGATCTGGCAGAGCTAGTACAGCACGGTGACCTTTGCCAAGGCTTGCCAAAAGGTCACATATTGCAGTAACATATCTCCGTATTATACGAGTGGACGGACGTGCATAATATCCCGTATGATACGGGCCAGCGGACCATGGGCCGAGGGTAGATATATCCTCGACTGTGACGGATGGGCCGGGAGTGTTATTATTCCCGATGGAGACGGGTGGGCC